GACATTCCTGGTTGTCATCGCCATTGACGGCTCACGGGAAATTGCTGGCAAATTGACAGCTTTGTTTTGTGTTTGTGCCAATGATTTTGTGTTGTCGGCGGCTTTTTGAAAACTCACCCACGAAATCGGCTCACATGTCCCATTACCTTACCCCCAACTCTCTCCTCCAACCATTGCTCAATAGTTATGGAATGGGCGGAGATGCACAAGGACGTCCGTGTAACGTGACACAAAAGCCAAGGAAAAACCTGGGAATCCTACAGCCGAGGGCTGCTTGAAGACTTTATATTATTATCATAACAAAAATTTTGACTAAAATTTAGATTTTTTGTAAGAAATTCAATGATAGTCTGAACGATCCTTATTTTTCAGCAGTAACGAATTTTTATTGATAGTAATTAGGTGAAACAAATAAAAAAATATTACTAATTTTTGTAATCATTAATAAAAATAAAATATATTCGGTTTCCAATTTCAATTGTTTAAAATGCAATTTAAAAGAACAAAACTAAGTTTTTGGTTATAATGAACCATTTAAATTTATTTAAATTATATAAATATTTATTTATTTATTTATATATTCATATGAAACAAAATTTTTTGACATTGTTTTTCATATGAAGTTTTTGTTTTGGACGACTTTTTGTTGGGTTGAGTACTAGCCCTAAAAAATAAACATTTTTTCAAAAAATATTATATTTTAAAACTTATCTTAACCAAAGAATAAAAGCAAGTTGATCCCATAAACTTCCGATAACAACCCTCGCATATCAGAGAACGCCCACGGCTTTGTGCGATTAAAGTGCGTATTCGCTTTGTATTACCCGAAAGGCGGAAGACAGGATAGGACAGGACAGGACGTAAACGTAATAGCAGGACAAGAGAACGGCCCGAAGGTCCTTTCATTTGATGCGACTATTTTGGATACATTTCCCAACTCACTTGCCCATTCCTTGGCACTCTGAGTTGCCGATGTGGCAGAAATTGGCAGTTAACATCATTTGTTATTGATTTTCGCATTGGGTAATGGTAATATCAGCTGTGCGCTCCTCAAGGTGGGGTCGATTGTCCTGCGACCGGGGGGTTATTTACTTTTTTTTTTGGGTCACTCCCATTGTATATTGTATTGGTCGGAAGATGATTGATGAGAGAGTTGACGACGTTTAGCCACTGTTTATATATGTATCTACTATATAGAGTAACCTTCAACTTGGGTCGCTTGGGATGGGTTTCAGGGGACTGTTGACCCAATTTCTATGCGGTCGATGGGGGTGTTCGCTTCTGACTCATTTGAATATTATTCGCAATTTTAAGTGGTCTCTGCTGCAGGTATGTAAACTGCTGCTAACCCATTAATTATAATGCACATACATCACTGAACGGGACGACCTGACACCACGCCACTCGTCCAATCAAAGTTAATGACTATTAATGTTACAGTTCCAATTACTTGCTTGCCACGCCCTCCCGCCGCTGACGCCTCTTCTGCGGCATAATTGCAAAAATTCCCTTTAATTGTGATTTATTGAATAATTCGTATTTATTTCGGTGCTCGCCGCTGCCACTTTTCACATATTTTTCACTATTTTGCCCGATCAGCGCGCGATGTGTGCGGCGTCCGAAAAGGCAAAAACACATTAAATTTATTTCCACCTTATCGGCATGAATGAAGCCGCAAAATGGCATTTAATTTGTGAATTTTTCAACAATAGATATCTGCGCCCCGTTGATTACGACACTTCACATGCGCCACATACCTATGAACAGTTTTATATCTACCTCAAATTTTACAGAATTCGTGATTCCTGCAGTTCTGCGTATAAGCTTTTTGAAGTTTTATTGCTATTTGTTTTTATCATAATTAAACAAAGCCAAAATTGCGTCAGCGACGGCGGCAATGATTAGATATTTCGGATATTGTGGGTACTTTTATTGGGCTTCAGTGTAAGCAGATATGCAAATTCATAATAATAAAAACAACTGAAACACAGACGAATATTTGGCCAAAGAAAATCCTGTAAAACTAAAAATTAAATAAGGTGTTTTGGAAAGAAGTTAAAAATATACCTTTTATTGGTATTTTAATTTCTGATTAATTTGTTTTATGTTTAAATACAATTAAATATAATTATTTAGAACTTGTTATTAAAAATAATTTAATTTTGTATTAAACCGCCTTTTTTCTACTGACTTGAGTTCCTTTAAATGTTTAAATCTTATTATTAGCAAAGTAAATTTTCTAGGGCTTCTTTTATTTTTCGTCGTTTTTGCAGGTCTTTAGATCGAAGTAATTTGTGGGCTTTTTGGAAATCTTTAGTACGCGTCGGCTTCCTTTTGACGATTTGTCTTTATAAATCGAAAATGGGCGTCCGCAACGCCCCCCTTTTAAGAGCTTAAAACCAAAGCCGGGGATTTTCTCGGACTGATTTGGGGGGCTTTTAGTGCAGACCGTCGTCCCCAACCAACTGACTTGTGAGCTTTGCCAAAACTGACACGCTAAACTAATTTCGGTGTCGACGGCACATGTAAACCGAATTAAAGTGACAGCCTCTTGGAGAAGGCATATCCTCCTTATTCTTCCCAACCAGCGGCGCTTGGCTTGATTAATTTTTGGCCCGACAAGTGGGAAACGCAAATCATCATCTGAGTGGGATTCCTGGCGACGGAGTGCAGGGTGCGGGTAATTGCGTATTTTGCGAGTGAACACACAAAAAGACAGCAGAAGCAATCACACAAATGCACTTGAAGAAACGATGGGTTTTTTAAGATTTAACACTTCATTTTGGTTGTACTTTTTTAATTTTTATATAAATGGTTTAAAAGTGTAAGTAACGAAGACAATAGACAACAAAAAACAATTTTTTGGATAAAATTTCTTAAATATCTAAAAATTATAATGGGGCTGGGCTGTCCATATATTATGTAAACACAATTTCGGCGATTTTTTAAGGGATCTATAGATTAAAACACCGCCCTATTAAATAAAAAAAAATCGTATAAAATATTGTATTTTTCAGCTAATGATTAATATTTTTTTCAGAACTTGAGGTGATTATAAAGTCTTGTTCTGATACTTAAAACATTAATTTTTACATTTCGGTAAAGTAGGTTTTCATATAATATTCTAACCACTTATTTGTGCATCTTATAAAGAAGTTTTAAAAACATTTGCTCGCATATTTAATTTTATACGTTTTGTGCTATTTTTCCGAGTGCCAGCGACAACATCAAAACAGACAGTGGGAATATGTAGGAGAAGGAGGATGATGGGGGACAAACCGCAGGCGGATGATGCGTCGTTTATTGGAGTTGTCGCCGTAGTCGCTCTCGTGGATGTGACTGTGGCGACGGGCGTAGCTGAGGACGTGCGTGGAGCTGGTGGCCGAGGAGCGTGCCGAGTTGCATCTGGACAGACAGACAAACAAGTACAAATGACAAACATAATGCAGACGCCCAGGAGGAGGAGGGGCATGTCTCCTCCACAGCACACACAATGGAAAGTTCCCCGCTGGCTTCAGTTTTCAATTTAATTTATGGCCACAACCCCGATACACCCACGAACCAAAAGAACCAAAAAAGGGAAACTAGAACAATGGCTCCGGATTAGCTTGACTTTGCGTGTCAAGGCTAAACCCTCGACGAGTTCTGGGAATCGCAATTCGACAACTTAATGCCGCTGGCAAGTCGTTCTGAGCCAACTTCAGCTAATTACTCACAGCCACCAAGTGGAGTGGAACCGGGTTGTTCGCAGATGAAAGGAGTGCGACCGACGAACGGCGGACAAAGAAGATGCAAAACCCAATCAGCCAAGAACGATGTGAGCAAAATTATATAACCGAGAATCTCACAACTTTGGAATACCCTGTTAGGAATACCTAGTACTTGTATTATTCTTAACCGATCAACTTGAAAATGTAAATAGTTTGAGAACCGTTTTCTCATCAGCATGTTAAATTTAAAGGAAGCTTTATCCACTGATTTCCCATACAATTTTAAAGTTTTAACCCTACTTTAAATTTACAAATAAATAGTTTTAGGTCCGCTTTAACGCCTAAATTTAAAGGAAGTTTTAAACTCTGATTTCTCATTCAATTTCAAGGTTTTAACCATACTTTAAATTTTACAAACGGTCGAGATAACGGACCTTAGTTTTTTCTCATCTATCTAGCTTATGTATCTTTTCTATTTATATCCTCAAATAAGCTTGTTTTATTTTAATCATATATAGCTTCACAATATAAGTTAAATTGTACAAAAAAGCCGTGCGAAAAAAAAGCTAACCCCAACTATTTGCGCACCAAAAAAAGAAATTCAGCACAACCTTTCCCATAAATTCCTATTCACGTTTATGTTGCCGAAATAGTTCTGGATGGCGTGCCCCAAATGGAACCCCATCAAAGTTCCCATAATAATAGAACAAGCTATTTTCATAAATTTCCATTACCTACAACCCAAAAAAAAAAAAGAAGCCATGATAGAAATGGCCTGCACTTTCATCAGACGAAAGCGTTCAATAAAAACCCAGCCAGGGTATGGCAAATCATTGTGGGACCCTGCTCGCTTAATCAGTCTGCTGGGAGCTGTTATGGCTGCCTGGGATGTCTGTCCGCCGCTCGGTTACTCGTTACTCGCTCATCCCGGTTCAGATTCCCGTTGGCAGTTTCAATTTCGTCGCGTTTATTCCCCCGCAATTCGAGCTCCTTGCCAGTGCAGCAATGCATATAAATGACGCAGCAATTGAAAGCCATTTGTTATGCGAAGCTTTGCTTTGTTCCACAATTAGAATTGCCAACTGGGGACACTCAGCCAACTCGTAGACGTTTTACATGGCTTAAAGAGAGCAGCAGTTTGGTTTGGTGGTTAATACATCTTTAACTTGTTCACTTTATTTCGACTAAATAAAGGAATTATCGATTTAACAAATAATTAATTATTCATTGGATTTAATAGGAATTATTTGAGGCATATAGACAGTATCTTTCTTTTAAGTATCTTAATTCTACCTTAGAGATATCCAACTAGGAACTAAGTGAGGGAAATGTTGTAAGTTTTGGCCACGTGAGATTTGGTGTGTGGTTTCGCGTTGATCCGCCATCAGATGGCAGCCGCCTGTCTGCGATTCCAGCGCCACACGGTGGCGTCATCGCACACGTAAACCAGAACGCTGGCATCGCGCGAGAAGGCGATTTGTCGCACGGTGGCCACGCTGCGCGGATTGTGCAGGGTGGTCATGTGGGCGCCCTCGGGATCGCTGGGATCCAGCTCCCATACATAAACCTTGCCCTGCTGGTTGCCCAGGGCAATCACCTTCTGCCAGGGATTAAACCCAAACCGCACGAACCAAATTTCGCACTCATCGTACTCGAACTCCGCAATGATCGTGCAGGAGGAGTCGCTGGGCTTCACCTGCTCGAAGCTCTGATGCAGTTGTCCCGGTTTCCAGCACACAATGGCATTCTCGCAGGACTTGGAGAGCACAAAGTTGCCGAACCACTGCACACAGTCAACGTAATTCCTGTGTATGTCCCTCGTTGAAAAGTCGGGAAAGTGCTTGGTCACCGTGGGAAAGGGCAGTGTCGATTTCTCCTGGCTAAAACTATTCGATAGTTCGATCTTGTGATGAAATTCGGGCGTATTCAGACACCACAGTTTCAGCGAGTGATCCATGCCGCTGGAAACGATGCGATCGCCGCGCATATTAAAGTCTATGGACAGCACCTCATCGCGATGTCCCTCCACTCCGCCCAGGATGGCAATGCACACGTGACTCTGGATGTTCCACAGCCTAATCGCATGATCCTTGCTGCCCGACAGCAAAAGCTGCAGCTTGTGCGGATGGAACTTCAGCTCGTTGATGGCCTGCCCGTGGCCAATGTAGTTGCCCACTGCCTCGTTTTGCTCGACGTCGATGACTCTGATGACTCCGCGGTATCCGGCCGCAGCCAAAAGTGGGGCAGAGCTCTTTAGGTCGTACGACCAGGCGCAGGTGTAGAATACCTCATCGGGCTGGGGAGCAAATTCAAAGGATTTCTATATTTTCTAGGTTTTTTGACCAATTTTCTTGAATTAAGTTTTCAGACGATCTGAGATTCTTTAGACTGAAATGTTAATGCTATTGTGGTATCAAGGCTACATTTTAAATGGTCCATAGCACTGCTCATAAATACAACTATTAAGATTCTACTGGTTTAGAATAAACAAACCATTTTATGTAAAGGTCAACTAAATTGTGGATTAGGGCTAGTACTCAACCCAACAAAAAGTCCAAAACAAAAACGTCATAAAAAACAAAATTTTTTGACGTTGTTTTTCATATGAAGTTTTTTGTTTTGGACGACTTTTTGTTGGGTTGAGTACTAAGCCTTAACTAGGTTTTTGAGGGCACATCCCCATATATTGGATCTTAATTATCTTTGTATGTACCAGCTATACTAGTACATAAATACTGGTATTACCAGTAAAATCAAACCATAGAATAAATTTCTAGAGATCATTGTGACATTTAAACTTTTATAAAAAATAGGGTCGCATATAAAAAACGTATTTAATCTTTTAAAATTATTTTGAGTGTTCTAAGAATGTCGTAATATAACCCACTGATATCATGAAAATAGCCTTTTATCCTAGGAACTCATATTCGGATTAAAATGGACCATTAAATGGGGTTGTTGTTCCAAAGGTTTTCCTTACTTTTGAACTAATAACAAATAAGATAACCTGATATAAGGGTTTACCAAGCTGGGGAACAGATTTTCTAGTCTTTGAGATCATTATCATAAGTATTAAAAGTCCCTAACTATAACCAACCGAGTAGTTGGGTCTTCTAAATGGTTCTGTATCTAAAGAAATAACATCTGCATCTACATAGCAGTGGAGCAGCTGCATCCCGTGTGTCCTGAGGACTTGTAGAACATCAAAAATGTATTAAACTCCTAAAGATTTCCCTTATTCTTAAACTAACAAGAGGATTCCAGTTTTTGAGATCATTATCATGAGTATTAAGAGCCCCTAACTATAGTCCACTAAGCAGATAGGTCTTCCAAATGGTTCTCGAACTAAGGAACTCACATCCGGATCTGCATTCCGTGTGTCGCGAGGACTTGTAGAACATCAAAAGGTATGGAACTCCTAAAGATTTCCCTTATTCTCAAACTAAAAAAAAGTTTCTAGTTTTTGAGAACATTATCATGAGTATTAAGAGCCCCTAACTATAACCAACTGAGCAGATACGTCTTCCAAATGATTCTCGAACTGAGGAACTCACATCCGGATCTGCGTAGCAATGGAGCAGCTGCATCCCGCCCTGCCGAGGGCACTCGTAGACGGTCACCCGGTTGCTGCCGGCGGTGGCAAAGACCTGCGGCTCCTCCTTGCCGAGCAGCGTGTTGAAGGCCACGCCGAAGATGTTGGCTCCGTGGTTCTCCTTCACGTGGGTGCTTTGGTAGGTGGAATCATTTCCGAATCAGTTTCTGTGTTCAGTTCGATATTTAATTAGTTTTCCTTACTCGTATTTGTAGGCCGCGCGGCTCTTTGGCTTCGATTTGGTGCTCCGGCGTCCGCGGCGCTTGCTCCTCGTGCTGGACAAGGGCGACTTGCTTCGCGAGGTGGTGCTGTTCGTCGTATAACTGGCCGACTCATCCTGCAGCGGATGACGGAGGTCCCGAAAAACAGATCCATTAATTCCCATTCCGAAACATCCATTTATCATTCGCTCTACTCACGCCACATGATTCCTCCGACTCCTCGGCCTCGTTGCCGTTTTTCACTTTATCACTGCTCATTTCGAACGCGCGGCACGTTTGCACGGTTAACTGAACCCCAAATTAGGCCCCCGATTGCAATAAACTATTAGTTTACGCTGCTTAAAATGTTTAAATTGTGTCGAGAGTAAAATGTTTTTTTCTTTTGGCGGCAATAATGTGACCCCAGCCGCAGATCGCGAAAAATACGCAGCACTTAAACGAATACGGTCTTACCATTGTGCAGAGTGGCCACCTGGTCACGATCAGCTGGCCAGTGTTGGTTAACCATTAATCGATAGGACGATAGCATACGACACTCGGGCGCCACATTCAAAATTGGCAATGACAAAACACATGCGCAAGCTAGTTTTATTAAGTAAACGAACAAGGGACAAGTAACATGCCATGGTTTCATGTGTGGTAAACAAACTTTTACATGTATGTACAAAATTAGATTGGTCGACAAAACTAGGAGAAATTGGAAGTTCTTGTAGTTTCATGTGGATCTTTAAAAGTATTTGAGAATTTGTTTCCTTTTACTTGAATTTAAAGAAAAAGTAGTTATTGCAAGTAAAGCATTAAATATTTCATTTGGAATATGGTTGATTTTATGGTAAATATTTTATTTATTTCCGAATAATCGTTGTATTTTGAAATTTTAACCAAATTCCTTTCAACAGAAACTACAAAAAAGACCAGCTTTTTACCTACTACGCTAGTAAACACGATTAAAAAAACTTTACTAACGTAGTAAATACTTTTTACTTTATACTAGGATAAAATAGTTATTTACAACAGAAGCGAGCAAAAGATTTTGGGGTAGGGGACAGAGGCTAGACAGAAGATTACAGCAGTGGAAATCGCAGACAGAGGTCAGCAGACAGATAGATTGGTTTTGGATAGAGGAGAGATAGAGAGACAGAGTTTTATAGAGTTGTTACATAGAGAGTAGTTCATTCTGGAGCTGTGTTTTGTTGATGTTTTTAATTGTTAACGCAAACGTCAAACGAAAAAAAGAAGGCAAATCGAAGGAACTGAAGAGGCGTAACGGATAAACGGTTAGCTTAGAAATGAGATTTCAAGTACGTTTTGTTCGTCGACATGGACCTGGCCCAGGTGGGTGTCCTGAGGCGCCGTTGCCGGTGCACGGTCGCTGGGTTACTGCAGCTGCCACTGCCCACTGAACTCTCCGCCGCCGCCTTGGCACTTGGCTCTTTGGATGGTTCTCCCTTGTTGCCCGGACTCTCCTCCATCACCGATTCCCTTACGGTCTCCAAAGCAGGCTGAAGTTTGGGGGCAGGTGGGGTCGAAGTTTCTGTTGTCGTGGCTGGCGGACCAGTGGGTCCACTGTGGGTCTGCGGTGCCAGGGAAACGCCCTTGGTGCGACCCTCTATGCTGTCCTGGTTATCACCCGCTGGGGTAGAAACACCATCTGGTCCCCCAGGAGCCCCAGACGCCTCCTGCAGGCTGCAACTGCTATTCGAGTTGTTGTTCTCCTGCTTCTGGTCATCTCTTCCGTGGCTATGGCGACTGCAGTTCAGGTTCTTGCAGTTCCCATTGCAGCCCTCTCTGCAGGATTTTGTGGCCCCACGTTGGGCGCCAATTTTTGTGTCCCAAGGCAGGCGGTCAAGTGTTTTCGGCGACCAGCAGTTGGCAGTGAGTAACAGCGAACCGTTGCATTGGGCAATTGTTAGGTTACGAGACACCACGTTGATTTCATGTTGCATTGCATTCGGTTTGTTTGTGTTTTTTGTGTGAGAGTATTTTATTTAGTTTTTGTTTTTTTTTTTAGATAAATAGTTTTAGCAATAGAAAGAAAGAATATATAAATAGAACATCAGTTGAGAGATTGTGGTAAAGCTTTTGGGGTTAGTAGGGGTAGAGGATCGCACTTTTCCCACGAAGAAGGCAACCGAATGTCTATAAATTAGTTTTTTTCATTTTAAAATTCGCCCTATCCCTTTAAAATAAGTATTTAAATTTTATTAGTTCGCAATAAATGTTTTTAGGCTTAAATATTTCATAAACTAAGTATTAAAACAAATTTAATTTTCTTAATTGGATTCAACCAACTAAAAATACAAACTTTTTATTAAAAAATGAAATCAATTTTTCCCTTTAGGGCGAACTTTTAAAATGCATCAATTCCGCAACAACATACAAAGCTAGCCCTGATGGCAAGCAAGGTTAACTCCGAAACTTTGTGAGTTGTTGGCAATGGAAAGGGATAAAATAAGTGGGGTAAATAGGGAAAGCGACTTTCAACCCAGCCTCACTTTGGCTATGCAAATCGAAGAATCGTGTCATGAGTGGGTTGGGAAGGTAGAAAAATGTTAATAATTCATGTGACCCCCACACCTGAATACAATGGACTCCATACATATTCCATACATATGCAGATGACATTCGGGAGTGGATCGGTGGGGGATTTAATTGAAAGTGTGGTAAATAATAAAAATGCACTGATGCATTGGGCTTATAGTTGTGGAGAGTACCCCTCTGCGGCTGAAGAGCAAACCAAAATCGGGTTGGGAAATGCAAAGCTTACCGGAATACATTTTAAATATTTTAAGATTACTTGATTACTGTCAAAATGTGAGTTTAATTATAATAGAGGTAAGTATAGCAATTCAGTGTTAACCCTAAAAACAGCTTTGCACTTCCAATTCTAATCAAAATGCAACCCTTCAAAAATATCGAACGCATTCTGCGCACCACAAAGAGTTGAAGTTATATAGCGAATAGCTTTTCATAGGCGAAGTTAGGGAAAAAAGATAAGAATACGGGTTAGATTCAGAGGAAGCACAGAGAGAATTCCATCTGGTAAATTGACAAACGAACTGAGTAGAAATAATGCAGATACACCGAGAGAAATGGCGAGCACAAAAGTAAGACACTGAGAATTGTTGGCAGACGGGTGAGTTAGAGACAGTTCTTCAATAAAATACGGTGCTGCGAATCGTTAGAGGACGGTGTTTCGGGGTCTTAACCTTAACTTAGTAACGCTCAAGAGCCGAAGGATACAGAGTACACAGTTATACGTTACGTAAGGCTAGGCTAGGGCTAAAATTTACTCGATCTCTGCAAACGTTTTATGATATGATGTTCAATGAGAGATAGAAGATAGAATAGATACGATTTGATGATGATGATGGGCTAGTTTTTTTTTTACTGGCAGAGCAAGGCAAAGTATAGATCTTGATTCTCGAAATACATGAACTGAAGAGAGCACTACAAAGTATGAGGATAGAAATAGTCGGTAACAGAGTTAGAAAGAAGTTAGAAGAAGAAGAAAGTTGTGGAAAAAGGTGAATAATAGTGATTATTGTGGGTTTTTTCGGGTTTTGATGTGGGCGCGAGTTGGGGGTATGGTTTTTTATTATAGACGAGATGTTAGAGTTAAAAATCAACAGAGTTAACGACAAAACCAAAGCGACAAGTTTGACTCGATGGGAACACTTACTCTTCGCTCTCAACGGATGAGGACGCAATCTGCCCCAACTTTGTTTTACCTGTTGTGGGGCTTCTGCTCAATAACACAGACACACAAACAGTAACAGAACGGATATAAAAAGAAAAATATTCAGATATATGTATACATTCAGTGGGTATAAGGGTCCTCAAACAGGGTTTCTTCTTATAGATAAATTAATAGTTGTTTTCTCTTTAAACAGCGAAGTTAGATGATTTGATGGGTAAATGGAAGCTTGCCTTGGGTGCAAATCCGAAATTTTGAAACTACGCAGCATTAGTCGTATAAATCCTACTCTAGAAATGGGTTACAAAGCCTAAACCAATTCGATGGGAGCCCCAAAGAAGCCCAAGCTGAAGCAGAGTTGTCCAAAGATCAGTTTGATTCGACTCGCTATCCTCTTGGTTGGGTTAGCTCGCCAAGAAGCTTGCAAAATTTTCATTTTTTTCGGGGATGTCTTATCGTGTTAGACCTCTACTTTCACCTACCTTGATTCGTCAATAAAGACGGCCTCGAGTACACGAGCCGCATAGTGCAGATTTCGCTGCATATCCTCGTAAGCAACGGTCTCATGATCCATGCGACGGAGAAGACTGCGTATTCTGTGGAATTTTAGATAAATATTAGATTAACGATTTAGGCAGGTTACAAGTTGTAGAACTTGGAATATAAAGCTTGAATAGTAAATGATATTTTCGATATTTTGACAATATCGATTCAATAACACAAATAAGAAATAGAGAAATAGCAAACAGAAAGCGTTTCCGGTCATATTGTAAAAAATTTTGAAAGTCAAATTTTGGTTTACTTAGTTTTGAACAGTACTTTAATCTGTCCAATTATTAAAACATCATTTTTTATTACCGCAGCTCAATAAATCATTTTTATTTTGCCCTTTATAAGCAGTATATAACTTTTTAACAGCTCTTAAAATATTTTCTATTTACGAGTATTTCATTTTTCAAGTCACGTTGATAATAAAACAAAGTTTAAACAAAATAAGCTAATTTCGTTAAGTACCTTTTAATAAGGCTTTAGGATCTATTAAATGTCACGTTCTAACGATGTTAATGTAAATTTACCAACGATTTGGGGCCTACGAGTGTATAAATAAGTGCAGATTGGGTTTGAAAACTCCAATTCTTCCCAACTAGTCTAACAATAAAGCCATGATTTCAATCGCTTTAATAGTCATCCATGTGCTCGGTCTTTTGGCCCTGATTCAAGTCGGAAGCTCTTGTATATGTAATCGAATATATGCGCCTGTTTGCGGATCGGACCACAAAACCTACAGCAACCTGTGCAATTTGGAATGCGATTCCGCAGAGCAAGGAGGCAAAATTATGTTGGCCAGTTATGGAGAGTGTAAGTAGCTGGAAGGTGTGAATGCAACAGGTTAAACCGCTACCGGAAGTGGATGAGCATAATACGGACATTAGTGTATTTAAAATACCGATTTATCGTTTTAAATATAAATAATATAGTTATTTCCTGGTACATTTAAAAATTACTGTGGATCAGGTGTGAAAGGCATACAAAATTGGACAGAAGTATTAATTGGAAAAATCTTGTTGGAAACTTACCTCCCGGCCGCTTTGTTAAGGGCGTCTGGCGTGTCGACTGGCGGCAAACTTTCCGTATCCCATTGCCCGGCGGCGAACGATATATTCGAGGGCGTTTCGAAGGAGTGTCCCGACTCCTGCGGAATGTCGGTGTCCCCGCGCAGGAACGAGTTGTTGCCGACGCCGACGTTTATCGAGTGCATGTTGGTATAGTCCGTCGAGTCGCGACCCGGTACCATTTCGGTTTGCGATAGATTGGCCGAAGAGATCTGAATATTATCGGCCAGATAGTTGGTGGCATTCGGCGATGATGGCTGCATTTTAGCGGCGGCTGCGGCGTTGGCGGTTGCTCCCGAGTTGGTGGCCTGATTGCTGATGGATCGGCTGTCGCCGGCGGAGGAAGATCCGTTGCTGCCGGAACGAAAACTCAGACGCTCGGCAAGTGGCTCACTGAGCGGCGTCTGGGCGAAATTAATTCCCGGAACTGTGCTGCTGGTGGCGGTGGTCGAGGGCGATGCCAACTGGCTGTCGATTTGCGTGAAGTTGCGGCTGTTTGTGCGTCGGATAATCGTCAGTGAGCCGTGTCCTGCGAAAATCCGAAGAGAATTGGAGAAGAAGAAACTGATTTAGTTGCCGGCTGATTATTAAGTTACATCACTCTCACTGTTGACACATTGATTAAGGCCCTACTGGGATCTAACGAAGCACACAAAGGCCCCAAAGGAAAGGGTTCGATGGAAGGAGTACAGTGGGTAGGAAAAAATATGCATAAAATGTATGGATGCAAAAAAAGGGGATTTATAGCCTACAATAATTCCAGATCAAGATTACTTTATTCCAATTTTTTTCGCTCATTTCAAAGGGTTATTAAAAAGGTAAATATTTTATTAGAATACTTTTCCAATACAATTTTATTATTTTCCAAAAATTTAAAAAAAAAATGTAACTCTTCTATTATTTACTAAAAGTCTGGTTAAATTTTTTTAAAAAATTAAAGTTTAAAAAATTTAAAAATTATACATTTTTTAATACTTAAATAAGTGATAAGTAATAAAAAAAACATTTTTGTACCACCGTTTGTCTTTCTTCTTTGGTCAGAAATCGTTGGATACAATCGACAAGAAATCAATAATTTATTCCCATCATTTAAGGCCATTGTAGCATAGAATTCTTTATTTAGTTTAACCCCAAGTGAGGGGAAAATGCTTAACGAGCAGCGAACAAAAGCCCTTGAAGAAGTTCCTCCTGCGAGCCAAGTCCTGGGCCCCCAACCCTTGGGCCCCGCTCCTCTAGTTGGCTGAGTGGCATCATCCTAAGTTGGCCCAAAGTTGCCTTCCCGGGCGTGTCGACAAAAAAGTGCAAAGGATTTATCTGTGTGTGTTTGTCAAGTGCTGAGGAGGGTGTACCCTGTTCAGAGCAATCTATCTGCGAATTCCCCAACCTACTCCTTCTCCGCCTACCAAAGAAGGAAAACACAGCGTCTTCGTCCTGGCTGCTAGAATCTTAACTGCATTCCATTTATTTTGACAGTGCAAGCACCTCCCGAGAAAGGTGATGGGGCAGTCATAAAATCCGCTTTATGCTGCACTTAAATTTATGTTACACCCGAGATTCCTTAGCTTAACTGCTAGATACGCGGGCTCTTTATCGACTCGAGTTTTGGGATGAAATGTTTTATGCTCCTTTTACTGGCGACTCTTCACGTCCTTAATGACTTTCAACGCTTCATTTTACCCCACAATGTTGGGTAAGCCGGGAGAAAAATGCTGTGCTGGTCCCACCTGGCATCAGCTTACGGCTAAAACCCAATTCCGCTTGTTTTGACCCATGTTGGTGGAAATTGCCGGCAATTAAATCGCCTGATGGCCGCATAAAGTGCGTTTCGCAAATGGTAACATGATCGATGGTTTCGCATCAATCTTCTTTTTGCAAACTGAAGATAGTAAGTAGTGCTTAGTTTGTTTGATCTCGACAAGATATTATACTATTTTTACGATTAAATACAGTGGCCGAATAATTTGATTTAAACTAGTGATTTAACGCTTAAAACGCGTAGGACGTTCTTGTACTGGCTTGAACTTGTGTATATAAATGAGTGTCGATGGGCTGTAAGAGACCATTTAAAACTAATTCCTTATACGTCTAAAACTTATACCATGGTCTACTTATAATCACACTCTGCCTGTTTCCCGTTTTGGCCCTTGGGGACCCTTGCGGATCGGATTCAAAAACCTACTTCAACTATTGCGCATTAAACTGCGAGGGGAAAGATAAAGGAATAACTACGGTTAAATGGGGAAAATGTTAGTACCCAGAATATCGAAATCTAATAAAAATTATGATTTAACGCTTAAATCGTGTCAGACTTTCTGGTACTGGCTCAATTGTATATAAATAAGAAACATCGCCTGTTTAGCACTATAGCATACAGCCATGCTTTACCTTACTTTAATCGCCCTGTGCCTGTTGGCCCTTTTGGATTTGTCTGCTGGATGCTCTTGTACCCGCGAGTATAATCGGGTTTGCGGAAGTGACAAAAATACCCATCCCAACCCGTGCGTGATGAGGTGCAAAGGTGCCACACTGGTCCATAGCGGACCGTGCAAGACCTATAATGTTACTTAATAAAATGAACAATAAGGAATGCCGAGTCGAATACCTCAAACATCTGGGTAAAACCGATATTTTTGAAAATCGAAGTATAATAAAAGTATTGATTTATATCAATAGCTCGATCTGGTTTAATTATAAGCAAGTCTCTATGACTGAAAACTTTAAAACCAATCAGTACGTAGCCTAGTTGTAATGGGTCTCAGCCGATTTGCTTCTTTTAAATTCATAGTATAAATAGAATGAATTTCATACCATAAAATTAAATTTTTTTGGTTTAAAGTAATTTATAAGACCTTTTCATGTGTTAAAATTAGAATTTATTGCTTTAAATAAACCTTTAATCATTAGGCACCCTTGCTTGTGTCCTTACATCTATATGCCTGTCTGCAGATCGGATTCAGTGACCTATCCCAACAAGTGCGATTTCGACTGCAAGGCAAAAAATAAAGCAATTACTGTGGTCAAATGGGAAGCGTGCTAATACCCAGAATAAAAAATCTAATATATGTATCTCAAACTAAAAAAATAAATAAATACATAGGTTGAGACGGTCTGTAAGTTGAGACATTCAATTTTCTCAAAACTTATCGACTAAAAAAATTGTTTTTTTTTTTTTTTGTAGTCCTTTTTAGTGACAAAACTTTTGGGGAAAACTTTATAAGCCAGGCTCTAGCCAGATTAAAGCTGTGAGAGTTGTGTACCATTTTTCACCAAAAAAGTTGTTGTCTATTTTTTTCAAAATTCCATTTAAAATTAACAACGTCCTTAAATTAACTTGGTAAGAGATTTAAAACATTAGTATATTAGTATGTTAACTAATTAAAAAAAGAATCAGCTTAATGTGACAGTCAGAACAAAAGTTATTCATTTTTTCCCGAAACATCCCATTTTGTGTAAGTTGAGACACCCGTTTTTCATACAAAAAGGCCTTAGGCCAACAGAGGTCGCTTTCTGCCTAGTACATTTCTTTGATATTAGGGGAAAAGTGAATGTTCAAAGAGCCTTTTGATTTTAATTGTTATTTGGTCTAAGTTTTTAAAAAATGGATGGGAAATGATTTAGGACAAACTAAAATTGATTAAATTAACATAAATAAATAGTTCCTTTTAGTTTAGAGTACTTTTTGTGTGAGTATTATTGACTTTAAAAAGTGTCCCAACTGGCACTTTTCAAATAAAATAATTTTTCAGTTTTCCCTAAGGAAAAAAAATATATTTTTTTGTTTTTTATTAAGCTAATAGACTAACCTTTCGATCAGTAAAGTAAATGCGTAAAGATTCATAAGTGAATGTCGAAATGGCAGATTAAAAACAAAATGTGTACCAACCTCTCCCCTGTATGTCAAAAGAAAAAAAAAACGCAATAGCCGAGTAACTCGAATATCAGATATCCCTTACTATGTGGAAACCGATATTTATCGAAAAGGGAGGTGTCCAAACTAAGCTTTTTAAAATATATAAATTTGAAATAGTTAAATAAACATTTGTATTTAAAACAAATAATTTATTTAGCTGAACCTTGCGATTCAATTATGATTTAACCGTTAAATTTTAACGCTTAAACCACTTTGTGGTACTGGCTTGAACGTATATAAATAAGAAACATCGGGTGTAGAGCACTATAAGATACAGCTATGCTCTACCTTACGTTGATGACTCTGTGCCTGTTGGCCCTTTTGGATTTGTCTGCTGGATGCCTTTGTACCCGCGAGTCGAATCCGGTATGCGGAAGTGACAAAACAACCCATTCCAACCCGTGCGTGATGAGGTGCAGTGGTGCCACACTGGCCTATTACGGACCATGCAAGTCCTAAATGGAGTTTATTAAAAAAAAACAAGAAGAATACCGTGTCGAGTATTTTGAAAATTAGATACGCGTTACTCTAAAAAACCCCTAATGTGTATCGAAAATCAAAGTATAATAAATGTATTGACAGGAATATATAACTAGTTTTGGTTCATTTATTAATATGTTTTTATTCCTGACCACTTTGAACGACAGTTGTATTGGACCTCTGCGTATTCGTTTTTTTTTAAACGATACACTTAAATTACAATTAAACGCTTTAATAGAGTATACTCATAAAAATTTAACTATGCATGAGAGTTTATTGTATCGCTGACCTTTATATGATTTATAAGTCTTTCTTGTAACAAGGAAAATGTCGCAACAGTTTTGAAGCAACCCAGCAATTGCTTTTGGGTTGTTTTATTTAATAAATTTGTTATACCTAAGCAACTACATTTATTAAATTAATTTCCATAAATGTGTTTTCGATGTACCTATCAGAATTTACCAATTTAAATATGTTTTGTTGATTAGTTTTCGTTTGTTATTCGATTTATTTGTAAAATTCTAAAAAGGTAATTATACCCGTTACTCGTAGAGTAAAAGGGTATATTGTATTCGTGCAAAAGTATGTAACAGGGAGAAGGAAGCGTTTCCGACCCCATAAAGTATATATATTCTTGATCAGGATCACTAGCCGAGTCGATCTAGCCATGTCCGTCTGTCCGTCTGTCTGTCCGTCTGTCCGTCTGTCCGTCTGTCTGTCTGTATGAACGCTGAGATCTCGGAAACTATGAAAGCTAGAAGATTGGCATTTTGCATGCAGATTTTAGGAGTTCCTACGCAGCGCAAGTTTGTTTCAAAATGGTGCCACGCCCCCTCTAACGCCCACAATCGCTTATATACGATTTTAAAAACTTTAATATTTTGGAAAAGTAAAAATGCAGTTTTATTGTGTTTATCAATACCTATCGAAATGTAGAAATAAATTTTTCAAATCGGACCATTCGTTAAAAAGTTATGCGTGATCAAAGTTTTCAATCTATATCTCCATCTCCCTCGCACTCCCTTCACCTGAGTAACGGGTATCTGATAGTCGGGGCACCCGACTATAACGTTCTCTCTTGTTTTTTATTATTTTTATTAGATTTTGATAATCTAAATTGGATTCATAAACACATTTAAATACCGGAGAAAAAATAAGTCAGAAACAACTAATTTGCTTTAGCTGAATGAAAACCAAACAATGAAATAAAAATGTAATTAGGACAACTGCGCAACATTGCAATTTCAATTAGCCAATTCAGTTCTTAGCCACAACCATCCACGAACCACTATTCTAACTAAATTCCCGCAATTTCCGAGCGATGTCAGACCGACTTAGCCACCGCAATCTCCGCAGCTGGTGCAGGATGGATTATGTACAAGCTTTGCGGTGTCCTGTTCGCTACTCGAAATGGAAATTATAATGCGACCTCCCCACAGTGGCCACCAGGATCAGATGATGAAATATGCAAAAATAACACACACAACAGCGAGGGACGGATGCAAAATGCGGAATGCCATGAGCTGCTCTTTACTTACTTGCCACTTGACCATTTATTGTCGCATTTGTGCCGCTGCCACTAAGCTCGGAGACCGTGGGACTGACAACTTCTTGTGCCGGCGTACTGACGCCACCTGCTCCTCCGGCTCCAGATCCCGACCCTGTACCACTTCTAGTCGCAGGTCCAGCCGATCCACTTGCTGCACCGCTCGCTGCACCACTGCTGCCGCCGGTGGTGCCAGCACCAACACTTGCCTCCTCCCGCTTGTTGGGCAAACTCTCCGGCGTGCTGGCAACTGAAATGGTAAAGCGAAATATTCTTAGTTTATGGGTTGAATTTGAACGTAACATTTAGTTAAACATTACCATTATCAGGTTCGAAATTTTTAATAAATAAATTTTTGTGTCTGTCTAACGCCCACATCTTTAAAAATTTTGAAAAAGAAAAAATTTAATTATTTTGTCCTTTTTAATACCTATCGAAATGTAGAAGAAAATGTTTAGATCGGACCATTCATTAAAAAGTTATGAGCAAATAATGAAATTGAAGCAGTGCAAGTACTTTTATTTGAGTATGTTTAATTATTTTTAAATTTCATGGAAGTTTTTATAAAAATACATAGGTTTTAATGTTAGAATTAACAGACTACTTTGTTAATTAAAACCCCAATGAAAAGTCATACCTAACAAGCTGGTACTTGTTGAATAAACTGGTTACTATTACATCGTAAATATACTAAACAGATAAATATAATTGATCAATGCTCTCTCTGTTGTTATTGTTCAGGAAAAAACCTTAAATCTTAAAAACGTTTTTTTATATGTGTATCCCATAGCTGACTAACTGCTCCAACAGGTCTCTGCATGGCAATCAGTATTCAAACTATCTGTGCTTGTCTACACATCTATGTGAGCCCTAAATCCTTTTGTTGTCTTTCACTTGCTGGAAATCCCTCCTTTCTAATGCTGTTGGGCTTAGCCAAAGTGTATTTGTGTTGTGTATTTTGTTTGCTTCTTGGCCAGAAGGGTCGGACAACTTTTTTGCGGATTTCGGTGATTGGAAAGGCGTATCTTCTGCTTTAAGGTACATTTGAGATAGAAAATTTAACTTCGATGGAAAGCAGTTCAACAAAAAAAAGAAAAATAACAGATAAAGAAGAACTCAGCAAAATAATACACTTATAATATAAGTAAACTACATTGCTAAAATGCTGAACACACTAGAAGTTATCAGCTGTTCGTCTTATTTTTATATTTAATTGACGGAATGCTAGCTTAACAATTTTATTTAAAACCTGATAAGGGTCTGAAATGAATATTTAATATTTATTAAATATAATAAAAAGAGCATTTCCCAATCACCAAGGCATCCACGAATCTTAAACCATTTTCCTTGCGTTTAAGCTTTTCTTCAGCTTCATCTTGTAATATCCTCTCCTTTGATTTGGCCAGGCTTAGCCTCCTCCTTTGGCACTACAAGATTAGATTGAAATTGCTTTTGTGCCTTGAAAGGATTTTATTAGGCCAAGCTAATACCGATTTTTGCGCAAATTGCCAAGGCCAACAGCTGCGAGCTGCTAGCAAACTAGGGTAACAATAAATGTTTATTCATATATGAATAAAACGATTTCAGTTTCGCTCGTTCATTTTAAATAATGCGTATACGCCACGTAAGCTTATCTGTTTAAAGAGATGTGAATTCCCGGTTAGTGCGAATTGTGGGATTTATTTTGCAACGTAAATTGTAATAATTGCTTAGTTATAATTCATTTTTCAAATATTTGATGTTTTTAGTGTTCATTAAGTCACGCTGTCAACAGAATAAAATACAGATGAACCATTTTTCCTGTAAAAGGTTCTATATTGGACCTTAGGAAGTGTTAAAAGTCACGACTTATCGCTGTTAATGTGTAGTTTTTCCAACGAACTGCGGCTTGCAAAGGGAGCTGGTTCTGGCACCTCTATAAATAAGTTCCGATCGTGTGTAAAAGCTCCAGTCTTGCTTAACCAGTCTAACATTATAGCCATGCGTTGCCTAGCTCTGATCGCACTCTGCCTGTTCGCTCTTTTGGCCCTGGCTGCGGGCCAGGAGGCTAAGGGCTTCTGCCCATGTCCTCGCAACTATGAGCCTGTCTGCGGATCGGACTCAGTTACCTACAGCAACCAGTGCGATTTGAACTGCGCAGCGAAGAACCAGGGACGCTCCATCACTGTGACCAAGGCGGGAAAGTGCTAACAAACGGAATATGGAAAACAGACTGGTTATAACCGACATATGTATGATGCAAAGTGAAAAATAAATACGTGTTAATTGAGAACAAAACATTAAATATTTTTATATTCTCCTAGTATAAATTATTCGAATTAACTAAGCTGGAATTGTATATTTAAACTCTATAGTATCCATTAATGATCAAACGTCATGTAAGTATTTACTTGGGTTAATAAAAAATTGAAAATCAGTGTCGTCATAAATTCTTGTCTAACAAGTTCAACAGCTTTTCAAAATGACACTTTTATAACTAACTCCGATTATTTTTTCTTTTGTCACGGTCTTATTTTAAATTTATTTCACAATTTTCCAGTACGTTAAAAACTTTAAAAGTATAAGTATCTAGCTGTTGGTTGCATCTGTTGTCTATTTAAATACAACAAGTATTCATATTTATTTTAGTGGTCCAACATTGCCGGAATTAAAATAAAAACATGAAAAACAAATAACAGTGAACACAATTTCTATGTGAGTACTTTTGAGGTTTATGTTATTGACCCAATTGTTTAACGACTTTTCTCATTGGCTTGGATTCTATTTAGACAGTTGTTGGAATAGCTTTACCCAACAAATAAAACAACAATAATAATCCAAAGTTATACCAGGGCTGGGAAAAGAAAGTGGGTGTGTGATTTGATTAACAGTAAATTAAAAAAAAATGAATATAAGTTATAAAAAATATACCTTTTTTTTATTAGATCTTCTTCTTTATTACCGGCTTAGAATCTTTTCTTTCCTTTCTTTTTTTGAACAAATATTTATTTCTTACAAGTTTGTTTTCTATGTAAGAGCACTGACTTGAATATTATTATTCTACAAAGAACTTCTGTGTTTTAACTTTATTCAATATAAACAATTCATATGCAATATAAAAGTTAAGTTTAATAAACATGACTCATAAAAGATTATTGCTCAATTCGTGCAGTGCTATCTTCGATAGCCAAGCACTTGAGGATCGGAACAAATGAATTCGCAAATCACTGTGGCGCTCGGTGAATGGGTACGAGTTTTTCCCAGTGTCGAGTTATATATGATGATTCGTATTGCCGATAAGGCATTGAAACGCTATCAATTGCAATGCCAAATGCTCTGGTTGATAAGCTGATTTATTTCTATATTTTTCACGTTGATGATTAATACAAGGCACTTATTTTATTTGATTTCATTTTATTGTTTCTGGATATTTCTTTGGTATGTTGTTAGAGGGAATTTTTGGTTTAGCAGCTGCCGCTTCTCAAGAGTCCCATGCTGCGTCCTTGGCGTTCCGCCTTGCGACGCTGACAGTCGAATTCGCATCGATTTGGATAGGTCACCAAGTTGCTGGCACAAACGGGGTCGTAGTTCCTGGGGCAGGGACAGAATTCTTTCTTATCCTGCTCAACGTCATCGCTGCGAATTGGCGATATGGCGAGGGCCAAGAAAAGGCACAGGGCCAGAAGAATGCTCAGGAATTTCATGGTTGCGAGGTTAATCCACTTGCTAGACTGATTTGATACTGCTCGACTTCTTTTTTATTCAATGGAGCTTTGGTTGGCTTCGATTTGGTCTCTTATCTTATCAGTTCTTTTGGGGCTTTGGAGTTGTGAGTATTTTTTTAGAACATTATGACTGGGTTGCAGTTGAAATATGTGCTAATTTAGTTTGTGGAATTTACTTTGCTAAGTAAATGCAGTTCAAATTATTTGAATAATTTATGGGCTTCAGCACTTCCAATTAATTTACTTATTCACCTTATCGCGGAACCAAACACGCAATTGTTTATAGTTAAAAAAAGCTTGCACTAAAAGCTATATATTACTCACTCTATTAGAGAGCTTTTCCCTCATTTCTCACCGCCTTTTTATCAACGATCAGGTCGAGGGAATTTCCTCCTCGACAACAATTTACATACACTTTGCTCCGCTCTTTTATGAGCCCCAGTAATTAATGAAACGCCAGTTATTTTGTCAGGCAATTTACACGACGCTCTAGCTATTCAATTTCAATTGCCATTCAATTTCAATTAGTTTAGCGGCTTATACTCAGGGGAAATTTGACTAAGTTCTTTCCAGTTGTGGAGTAACTACCGCCATGCGAGGTTTATTTCTGGGTCTTATGCTCTTGGCTTTTGCCATAGTGACGGCCCGGGCTCTCAACTGCCAGCCGTGTAAATTACTGGAGGCCCGTAAGACACATGCGAACGAAACCCACACGAAGCCAAAGTGAGAAAAAGTGGGAGGGAGGCGGAGGCAGAGGCAGTCGGAAGGTCGGGAGAGCAGTGCAAAATAATCAGCAGCTTGTTTGGCTAATTAGCAAAACTTACGCACACGAACGGAGGCAGCCACTTATACATAACTCATACCCAGAATAAACAACCAATTCCGAATCTCAGTCTTGGTTGAACACTCGCAGCGAAACGACGACGACGTCTTCGGTATAAAGTAAATTCCATTCAGTTAATAGAAGATCCACGCTGCAAATATGAAGTGCCTGGCTTTGTTCGTCCTTTTGGCCCTCTCGATCACCCTCTTTGCGGGCTCCGCGGAGGGCGGCCTCTGTACCTGCGACCTCAAGACGAAGGGTTCGGAGGTGTGCGGCTCAAACGGTGTAACCTACAAGAACCGCTGCGAGTTCGAGTGCACCCAGCGGGATTACAAGAAACTCGGAAGGACCCTAAACATCCAGAAAGAGGGAGCTTGCAATTTGTTAAAGTAATATCTTCGAGTATCTAGACTGCTGTGAGAGAATTTTGTAAATGGAATAACTCCCATCAAATGTTATACTCTCTTAGTCTACATTAATAAATTTAACAATAAACAAATTCTCTTATCAGTAATTCATATAGGTGAGATACCTCGAATAAATATAGCTGACTGTATATTTAAATTAAACTCAGTCTTAGTTGTACTCTCGGTGGAATAAGACTACGAGCTGTGAATAAAATTGGATATTTCAGCAGATATGAAGTATATGGCTTTAATGGCTCTTTTGGGCCTTTTGGTTGCACTATTTGTGGGCTACACTGAGGCTAGCTTTTGCCCCTGCAATCCGCGGAAGTCGGAGGTGTGTGGATCCAATGGCGTAACCTACAGAAATCGCTGTGAGTTCGAGTGCTCCCAGCGGGAGTACAAGAAGCTCGGTCGAATTCTAAACATCCGCAAACAGGGGCCTTGCTTCCAAGTAAAATGGAAATAAAAAATAAAGTTGAACTAATTAAGTCAGCAACATCTGGTACGACAATTTTTTTCCTTAGCAGCACGGCAGTAAGTTCTGATATGATTCCTAAAATTTATAAAATGTTTTTGAATGCCTACTACTTTTTTTGACAAATTTAACAAACTAATTCAATTATTGCTTTTTAAGTCGCAGTTCTAAAATAGCTTTCGCTTCTGATTAAAAATCTGTTTCTCGACGAGGCGCATCCGAATGTATTATATGCAAATAAAGCCATTCAATGTTAATTAAAAGCTGCGTCAAGTGCGTCATCACCTGAGTAAATCAATCGGTGGATCGTTACGGGCGGAGCTCGTTTTCATTGACACTTTGGGTGGGAGTGTAACTCGAAGGCGGTTTTGGCACCGCATAAACAGTCGCCTCACGCACATCAATCAAATTTATGCATAATTAATCGTTCGCCAGCAGCGATTCGTCTCCCTCGGGGATTGCTGATGGTTGGGATGTGATTTATTAACCCAGCGCAGCGGCTTGACTAATTGAATCTCAATACGTGCGACGCAAACAACGAAATTGGGTGCAAACAAACCAACAAACCACCCAATCCAAACCACCCGGCTAATACAATGGGCCAAGTAATAACAAGGCCTAGAGCAAGTCTAATAAAGGTAATGGGCCGCATTTATGGGATGAGGTTGGACTACCGGGTACCGTTGACTTTATGACAGGAAGCTGACAGCTGCAGCCCGGAATTTGGCTCGCCAGAATGTTATTAAAAAGATAATAACGAACGGGTTGAATCACGGCCGTAAATCGGTTTTATCTCCCGAGACTTGTTCAAATTAGGGATTATAACATTCATGAGATAAACAAGATGTGTCATGAAAACTAAGTTGCTTTCAGAGATGATTTCAAGCAAAGAAGTTTTATTAGGTAAATTAATAAATTTAAATTAAAACAAGAGATTACGCTGTAATTGAGTATCCGACTATCAGATACCCCTTACTGAGCTAAAATAAGTGCGAATGGAGATATGGGGATATAAATGCAGTACAGCAACTGCTTGCACTGCTTAAATTCCATTATTTGCTTATTTAATAAATGCTCCGATTTGAAAAATGTATTCTATAATTCGATTGATATAAATAAACAATATAACATAAACCCCTTTACTCTAAAAGTAACGGGTATAAATATGACGTGTGATTTTAAATACACTATATTTATTCGATTTTTTAAAATCTTTATTATATTTGTTTGTTTTCCAGCATAGAATCCATCTTATCGATAATGAGAATATTTTGATTATAATGTTTTCAAAGTGGAGGAAATTGGCTCCGATCTTTGGAAAATATAATGGTTGTTGTAGAGCAAACGAACTCAAACTATTGAGCTCAAATTAAGACCTTTTGGGCCAATACCAATTTGTAATGAGTGTGAGCTTACACCGAAAATGTTTTATCAGTCAGTGACTTGACTGTGAGCTTATCTAACAGAGCCTAAGCAGATAATATGATAATATTCTGTCAAAAGAGGATTTCCCCGCCCACAGTCATAACAATAACAGCCAGATAGTAAAGGTCGGATGGGATACAAACGAAAACAAGAGAGAACGCTATAGTCGGGTTGGTGTCCCGACTATCTAATACCCGTCACTCAGCTAAAGGGAGTGCAAACGCTGTACGGGTTGGTGTCCCGTCTAATAATCGTAACTCAGCTAAAGGGAGTGCGAGGGAGATAGATATATATTGACAATTTTGAATGCGTATAACTTTTTAATGGATGGTCCGATTTGAAAAATGTCTTCTACATTTTGATAGATATAAATATACTCAACAAAATTGCATTTATACTTCTCGGAAATCTTTAAAGATGTGGGTGCAGGACCCATTTTAAAATCGTTAGTGGGCGATTGTGGGCGTTAGAGGGGGCGTGGCGCTCGGCTAAAATAAACTTGCGCTGCGTAGGAAGCCAAAGAATATGTGTGGAAAATCTCAACCTTCTAGCTTTTGTAGTTTCTGAGATCTCAGCGTTCATACAGACGGACAGACGGACAGACGGAGAGACAGACAGACGGACAGACGGACATGGCTAGATCGACTCGGCTAGTGACCCTGATCAAGAATATATATACTTTATGGGGTCGGAAACGCTTCTTTCTAGCTGTTACATACTTTTGCACGAATCTAATATACCCTTTTACTCTACGAGTAACGGGTATAAACAGCCAAATACACATGGATAGATATGATATCCATACGGAAATTTACATGTGGAACCTACTTATGACAACGGGCAATCTCTACAACTGACAACAAATCGACAAACCCGTACCGCTTCTATCGCTGTTGTTGTAATTTCGTTTGATTTGTGATAACAAGTATTTGATAAGCGTAAACGTATTGACATCATGAAATAGCAGCCCAAAAAAAGAAAAGCAAAGAGAGAGCCCGCCCAATTCAAATTTGTTGATGCTTAAGGGTTGTCAAAGAACGACACACACACACACACTGAGATATAAAAAATGGATAAGGCGGAAAAGAGGAAAATGCGACTGAGGAAAAGCGAAGCATATGTTTAGGCGCGTGTGTTAAATTCGTAAATATCTGGGGCCACTGGATTAGTGGGAGCTGATTTTTAATATGCCAAGCTCGAGAAGCACCCGAAATTCTCTGATATGATTAAATATTTACATAATAAAAAATGTAGGCTGTATATTTATTTATTCGAGCCCGTCGAGGCCCAAAAAATTAAATTGAAAAGTGCTCGGAAAAAAGAATTTCCCCCTCTACGAAAATTCTCTAACACAAAAGGTCTGAAAGTCGTCCTTTTCCCGCGTAAAGGCAATTCAATCAGCGTCGCGACATGAAAGGTAAACCCCGTTGTCCTGCGAGGAGCCCACAGACAGGTGAGACAGCTGAGTGAGAGCTGGCACAGTTTGGGGAGACAGGCGGCGGATGCGGATTAGCCGGTGCTTCTCCTAAAACATTTCGCTTTAACTTTTCACTCTGCCCGCCCCCTTTTCCCTGGGGGTGCGGCCTCAAAATTACAGCGAATTTTCTTCGCTTTGATTTCGTCGGCAAAGGAATCTCAATGTGAACAGCCACGCCCCCTTGTCAAACCCTTTTCATGTCGCGGTGAAAAGCGGGAAAATTATGCCGACTCTGCTTGGTTACACGTGAAGATTTCTGCACATATTTGTGCGAAAATTTCCAATACACTTCTAGATTCAAAGCAGGTAAAAAGGTAAACGGTGTGGCACTGGTGGCCCATTGTTTCTCCCGGTTAGACTGAAGTAAAATGTTTAATTAAACTGTCAGCTTCAGCCCAGTGTAAACCTATAAGGGATTGGGTAAAATTCCATTTGGCCGCCCTGGTCACGCAACGGAAGTTCGCGGTTGGAAAGCTGAATAGCCGTGTAATTAACAGGTGTCGAGAGGTAAGCTTTTTGAACTCTGATTTATAGTTATTAAAAACAAGCTAGTTTTGAAATAAGGGTTTAAAGTATAGACATAACACGTTTTTATTGTCAATTTTGAACTAGATTTAAAAGTTTATATTGATTAAAAATAAAATTATTTAGAAATTTCGAAATGTATAGTCTTGTAAGCAAAGTATCGCAGGTTAATCGAAATCTTAATAAAAATAATTTAACTTTGTTTCAGCAATCAACCCATTTTAATTTTAAGACAAGAGATTTAGGTTCAACTATACAAATGTTTTGTAATTTTTTTTAATTTTCCTGATTACTTATTAGTATAATTTTAATTAACTAACTTAATTAATGAATTTTGTTTAAAAACAAATTATAATTTGCATCTTCTTACAGGACATGAAAAAAACGTGATCACCCTCAAAACATACAATTTTCAAACTTATGTTTCTTTAGCTTTTGTTATTTAACAAGTTCCTCTACTGTTTAACTGTATTATAAATTAGCTGTTTGAACAACAATTAACTATTGAACTTATAACTTAGTATCGACTCACTTCCGTCCTTTCTTCCCGTCCGCATTTCATTGTTTTCTTTGATAAAATTTAAAAATTTCCCTGTGTTTGGTCAACTGGGCGATGTAAACGCCTTGTCGAACAAAAAAGTTTAAGTGTTTAATTCCATTTAAACACATTTCAAAGTGACACGACAATTGGTCAAATATTTGTGCCATCAAATCGCCAAGTCAAATAAACAAAACCGGAATTGAAAAGCCGGCAAACGGTATAAAAAGCCGGCAAAATTGGGGTGATAATAGAAAACTAGTTTGTTCGTTGACCGCGATGGGTGTATTGAAAATAGCTTTCGTTTTGAGTGTGGGTCTAGTTGCCGTTTTGGCCAACAAGCACCAGGCGAAGGAGCAGGATGCCAAGTACAATTGGTGGCAGCACGAGGTGTTCTACCAGATCTATCCGAGATCCTTTCAGGACAGTAACGGTGATGGAATTGGCGATCTTCAGGGTATCACATCCAGATTGCAGTATTTCAAGGATACGGGCATCACTGCCGTATGGCTGAGTCCCATCTACGAGTCGCCCATGGTGGACTTTGGATACGATATATCGAACTATACGAATATTCAGCCGGAATACGGCACCCTTGAGGACTTTGACGCCCTGATAGCCAGGGCCAATGAGCTGGGCGTGAAGGTCATTCTGGACTTTGTGCCCAATCACAGCTCTAACAAGCATCCCTGGTTCATCAAGTCGGTGGCTAGAGAGCCGGGTTTCGAGGATTTCTATGTGTGGGAGGATGGAGTGCTCCTGGAGAATGGAACTCGTGTGCCGCCCAACAACTGGCTGTCCGTCTTCTCCGGATCCGCCTGGATGTGGAACGAGGAAAGGCAGCAGTTTTACCTAAGGCAATTCACCTACGGACAACCTGATCTTAACTACCGAAATCCTGCTGTAATTCAAGCCATGGACGATGTGATGCTCTTCTGGTTAAACAAGGGAATTGCCGGTTTTCGCATCGATGCCATTATTTACATTTACGAGGATGCCCAACTGAGGGACGAGCCTCTTAGTGGAACAACCGATGATGCGACCAATGAGGCTTATTTGGAACACATCTATACCAGAAATCAACCCGAGGACTACGGTCTTCTCCAGCATTGGCGGGAGCTCCTGGATAATTACACAGCCAGCCATGAGGGACCGCTGAGGATAATGATGACCGAGGGCTATGCCTCAGTGTCCCAACTGATGGAGTACTACGAGGACGCGAATGGAGTCCAGGGTCCCGAGTTTCCCTTCAACTTTGACTTCATCACCGAACTGAATGCCAATTCGACAGCTGCGGACTTTGTCTTCTACATCTCCAGGTGGCTCATCTATATGCCACATGGTCATGTGGCCAACTGGGTGATGGGCAATCACGATAATCCCCGAGTGGCCTCGCGATTCGGTGAGCAGGCTGTGGATGCTATGAACATGCTGCTGATGACACTGCCAGGAATTGCTATAACCTACAATGTCAGTATGGGAAGATTACCATTTATAGTGTTTAATAATAATAGTTTTCTTTTACTTCAGGGTGAAGAATTGGGTATGACGGACTACAGAGACATCAGTTGGGCCGATACTGTGGATCAGCCAGCCTGCAATGCTGGAATCGATAACTACAAGTGGGTCTCTCGAGATCCCGAGCGTACGCCCATGCAATGGAATAGTGATCTCAATGCGGGATTCTCCACAGCGAATTCAACTTGGCTTCCCGTGAATCCCAACTATAGGGAGCTCAATCTTCGCAATCAGCAGCAGGCAAGGCGAAGTCACTACAAGATCTATCAGACGCTTCTGAAGCTCAGACAGTTGCCCGTTCTGAAGAACGGATCCTTTGTCCCGGAAGTGGTGAATCGCAGGGTTTTCGCTTTCAAGCGGTGAGTACAGAAAATATATATAGCTGTTTACTAGTTGTTTACAATTTTTCAAACGATTACAATCCTCAGTAATTTTGTTTGATTAATTGTCCCATTTATTTTTCCTCACAATCTGTAATTATTGGTTGTGCAATTTTTTAATTTAGTAGATTTCTGTTTTAGTTCATATTTTCTATATTTTTCTCTCACTTTTTCAGAGAGCTCAAGGGCGAGTACACTCTGCTGACCATCGTGAACGTTAAGAATCGCACAGAAGTAGTGGATATCGGGGACTTTATAGATCAACCCAATCGCTTGGCGGCCCTTGTGGTGGGAGTGGACTCGCAACACCGGGTGGGTGATCGACTCAAGGCCGAGGCCATCGAATTGGCCCCCTACGAGGGATTAGTTATTCAGCTGAACAAGCGAAAGTAACCTTACACTACACACTACTTGGTATTCAACATTAAAGTACGAGAAAACTTTCCATTAGCCACACAGCCGAGCTTTTCTATTTTCGCATTTAAATGTATCTCACAGGGGCCATCTGATTCGAGTTTCCATTTCATTTGACAGCAAAACACATTTCCATTTACATTAGCGCTTCGCAAACATTGTAATTGAATTGAGAGCACTCGGTGTCGGACCTTCTACTTCACCACTCCACTTGCTGCCCAACTTGAATTGAAAGTCGTAATTCATAATTGTCGTCGGGTTTTTGGCCCTTTTTTGGGCTTAGGGCAGCTGATAAATGGTTTGCCGAATTTAATTAAATTTCCCTTAGCAGAATGACATAAATAAATGCGGTTGCCCTATGGGTCTGAAATTGTTTTGATTTTCATTTCAATTGTATTTATTATCAGCTGTTATGAGCGAGATGAACAAGGTGATTAGCAGGTATATTTATAACAGTAAAGTACAGGTATACAAAAATTTTATTTTATACAATTTCATGATTAATAGAGATTTGTTGGGAAGCTATTGTAATAATAATTGATAAAACTAAAACTTCAAATTTAATTTTCTAATATTAAATATAACAAAATACTTTTCGACAGGTCATAACTTTTATTATTGCTTCGTGTTCAAATTTTTTTTATATTTAAAAAGCTTTAAAGAAGGATTTTTATGTTTTTTAATATTTCTTTTTTATATTATTTTTTTATTTTTAATATTTATTATTATGTTGAACCACGAGAACGCTCCCTACACCATGATCTGCTTCAATTGTTTGTGGACCGAAAGCTTTCAATCAGCTGTTGGCAATCACTTCCACAAAAGCTTTTAGTTGATCGCCGGCAGCTGCTAAAAACGCCTCGAGAAGTGGGAAACAAAAGTGTGTTTTTAGTTTACTCTGATTTGTTTGAGGTGAGCAAAGTGATTTTCGCTTAGATCGGCCGGCGACAATTTCTAAAAAAAGCCCCAAGTTTTTGCACCCATCACCCGCTATAATATACATTGGCTTGTCAAGTGCAGCGTGCCGTAAAATTGGGAGAAACAATTTTGTTTACTCATTTAATTCGCGCCGCAATTTGTTTTGATTTGAGCTGATAAAAATCTCCCACTAAATTATACCCTTAATGCGACCGCTGATGATTAGACACAGACTAATGCAAAAATTATTTTAATTATACGGCAGAATCGCTTTAAAAGTGGCTGCCAAACTGCCAGCTCTCGAACACAACGAGCCGTAAACTTGGCCGAAATGCTCGCTCCACTCATCCAAATCCTTCTTTTTAGTCAGCTGTATTCCGGCTCCACGATGGCCGGTCTGGTGAAGAGCGATTCGGAGGACTTTATCGACTGGTGGCAGCACACGGTCTTCTATCAGATCTACCCGAGGTCCTTTAAGGATAGCAATGGCGACGGCATCGGCGATTTGCGGGGAATCACCTCAAAGTTGCCATATTTGGCGGACACTGGCATTACGGCCACTTGGCTGAGTCCCATTTTTCAGTCACCCATGGTCGACTTTGGCTACGATATATCGGACTACAAGAAGATCCAGCCGGAGTATGGAACAATGCAGGATTTCGAGGAGCTCATCGACAAGGCCTACGAGCTGGGAATCAAGGTTATTCTGGACTTTGTGCCGAATCACAGCTCGGATCAGCATGATTGGTTCAAGAAGTCCGCGGCCAAGGAGCCGGGCTACGAGGATTTCTATGTGTGGGAAGATGGCATCCTGCAGGAGAACGGCACTCGAGTTCCGCCCAACAACTGGCCGTCGGTCTTCTACGGATCCGCCTGGGAGTGGCACGAAGGCCGCCAGCAGTACTACCTGCATCAGTTCACCAAGGAGCAGCCGGACTTGAATTTTCGTAATCCCAAAGTTGTTCAGGCCATGGATGATGTGATACTCTTCTGGCTGTCTAAAGGCGTCGCTGGCTTTCGTATTGATGCTGTGAATCATCTATTCGAGGATCCAGCTCTTAAGGATGAGCCCCCGAGTGGCAAGACCACGGACCCACTCTCCTATGAGTACACCAAGCACATTTATTCCCGGGATCTGCCCGAGGTCTTGGAAATGATTCAACATTGGCGGCAACTGCTGGATGACTTTAGTGCCAAGCACCCCGAAAGACCCACACGCATCATGATGACGGAGGCGTATGCCGGACTCACCCAGCTGGCGGACTACTACGAGGACGCCAACGGGGTGCGGGGCTCCCATCTGCCCTTCAACTTCCACTTTATCACGGACGTCAAAGGCGGCTCGGATGCGCGTGACTTTGTCTACAACGTGGAGAAGTGGCTGATCTACATGCCGCGCGGGCACGCGGCCAACTGGGTCATGGGCAACCACGACAACCCCCGGGTCGCCTCCCGATTCGGTACCGCCAGCGTGGACGCCATGAACATGCTGCTGCTCACCCTGCCCGGCGTGGCCGTCACTTACAATGTGAGTTCCTGGCCCTGAAGTTGCGGGCTTTCGGTTTTATCCCTCTGGTTTTTCTAGGGCGAGGAGCTGGGCATGCAGGACTACCGCGAAATAAGCTGGCAGGATACGGTGGATCCGCCGGCCAGGAATGTGGGAGAGGAGCTCTACAACGAGGTCTCTCGGGACCCAGTGCGCACACCCTTCCAGTGGAGTAATGAGAAAAATGCGGGTAAGTTACCATTATAATAATAGAATTTAAATATATTGGTGGGGCGTAAACAAATTATGATATATTATGATTGAATTTAGCAAAATCACTTAGAATTCCACAATGGTAGAAGTATTATATTAAAAAGATAACTTATATTTCATATACATTTATGAAAATATTTTTAAAAATTATTTATTATTTTTCCTATGATGATTTCCTTTTATTTCCCACAGGCTTTTCTAGTGCCCCCAAAACTTGGCTGCCCGTCCATCCCAACTATCTCGAACTCAACTTGGAGGCCCAGAAGGCAGCCAACAAAAGCCATTACCAGGTCTACAAGGACCTACTTGAACTGCGTAGATCAGCCATAATGCGTTTGGGTCGCTTTAACATCGAGCCCATTTCGCGTTGGGTCTTCGCCTTCAAGCGGTGGGTGTCCGAAATATGTATGTCCCATAGACACATTGATTAGTTTGAAAGTAATTTTGCAGCTCCTACCCCAATTTTGAGTCGATAATTACCATCATTAATGTGAGCGACAAGGAACAGTTGGTGAATCTCACAGAGTTTCTCAACCGACCCAAGAAACTGGTTGTTGAAGTTTCCGGAGTGGATTCTAAGTACCAACCTGGGTAAGTTTGCCTCTTCGATTTCTAGTCATTCATTTCCCGCTTTAAAATTACACCGAAAAGAAATCAAAACTTAAGCCCATGTTTCACTTAACACTATTCAAAGATAGTATTTTTTTTTGTAGGAGAGTTTTAAATCTTATTTAAAATAGGTTCTAATATTTAATTAAAATTTTACCTATTTTTATAATTTGTAAAAATGACAAACATTAAGAAAGAAAACTATTTTATAAAATTTTAAAATCATTTCCTGATTAGCCCAAGAATTAATTTTTAGCAAAGTTATTTTCTGATAAAATGAAATTATATCAGACCCGTATTTATAAATTAATATAAAATCAGATACAGCTCTTATAATTTTGAAGACATTTTCTTATTGATTTTAAAATATAAAATTTAGGTGTTAATAGTCATGGCAGGTTTCCTTTAAATCTCACTGAACCCTACATCATTTTCTTTCTGTATTCCCGCTGCAGTCAATCCCTCGCCGCAAGTGCATTGTACCTGGCCGCCCGTGAGGGTCTCGTCTGTCGGCTCGTCTAGCCGGAAACGGGATTAGAGGAATTACCAGCTGATGGCGGCAAACTTTGCTCTTTAATTGCATTTCCAGTTCAAAATGTCACGCGATTGAATACAAAATGGGGGAAAATTAATGACCATAGAGAGCTGGTGTGTGTGTGTGTTTTTCGTTCGACTCGGATAGATTGAATTTAACGCTGTCCAGTGCTAATGAAGGCAAAGGGGGGAGGGGGTTCGGATCCTGTCCGGAAAAAAGTGGCCACATCGTCGCCTGTTCCTGGCAACTTGCCCAGAACTTGGCCGCTGCTGATGTTTGTATTTCATTCTCTCTTGGCCTCTGTAATTTTTCATGTATGGACGGAGAACACACCCACAAACCAAAAAAAAAGATTTATGGAACTGGTACAGACTCCCCCTAAACGTTTCGGAAATGTCGCCAAGCCGGGAATGTAATATAATATCACATGGAAAAGTTTGAAAATGTCCTTTAATAACTGAATTAAATGTTTGTGAATTTCCAACTATCGCAAACTTGTTGGAAACTTTTGATTGCTCGATGCTTACACAAACATTTTCCCAACAAATATCAGTTGTTTGGATAAGAAGTTAATAGTTTGTAATTGTCGGAAAAGTGATGGATATTTTGTGGAAATCCCTTGGAATTTCATACTTGACCAAGTTTTAGTTCTTACAGAATATAAAAAAATAAGTCTGCAAATTAATGTTTTTTTTTGTAAAAAAAAGTCATGGATAAACACATTTATTTGTAGTTTATAAATTTATAAACGAAGCATAAACACATTCAGTTTCAACAATTCCTTTAATCTTAAAGCTTAAATCAATGCAGTTTAAGCTGCAAGATTTAAATGACAAGTCTACTTTCAGTTGAACAAAAGTAAATTAAAAATGCCTCGAGGCTTAACCGATTCGCACACAAGTTTAAACATTTCATTGCCAATACGCCACGTTGAACAGAGGCTCTCATCGGATTAAGAGATATATATTTTGCTGTCTATATGCCCCGCTGAGCTTCATCTCGTACTCGTTTTCTCCGTGCCTGCACCGGAATCGGTAGACGTATTAAATATAAACTATTTGAATAATTCAGCGACAGCATTCTGGCCGAGGCCTTTGGACTTCATCTGCCCCCAGGAGGCGGAATTGTTTTAAGCGAGCGCAGCTCAACGATAATGAGGTAAGTTCCGGCCGAAAATGCCCGATTTTAGACAACTTTTTAGTCCAGTTATCGTAATTATTGGTCCTCTTGCTCTTAGCGAACAACGTCGCAACTTGGTTAAGCAGCTCATCAAGTCGGCCAATGTGGTTTTGGTCGGACTGCTGGTCTACAACTTGTGGCGTCACAAATGGACCAAAGTGAATTTCAATCAGCATCGGTTTTGATTGATTTTCGCTACTCCCCGGGCGCTGGTTTTGTATATGTGTGTGCTGGCTGATTGATTGATTGATTGATTAATTAATTAATAAAACGAACATCAGCTTAAATGTCATTAACAGTTGGCCAGGACTAACGACTCCTGAATGTGGCCGATGGGATTTGCAAATTTAATTTCCTCAACCAGTAGATCTGTCAAATGGCGAGAAATATCCTGGGGCGGGGGTGATAGATGGATTTTCTTTTGGGAAGGGGCTACGCAACAATGGGGAATTGATTTTGTAGTGATTGCAGTGCTTCCGATTAAGCTTACATATATTATAAATATTTATAAGTAGGTATAAATTATATTCAATGCGATAAACTGGAATAAAGTCAATATATTTTAAGTAGAAATACATTTTCATAATCATATTTATTTCCATAATTTTGCTGTAAATTTTTTTTTTTTGGAATACCTTGTTTAAATATGGAGTGACAATATTTTTTCATCAGACCCCACTCATTCTTTCTTTTTGTCTTGTTTATCCTGAAACCCCATTAAATGTCTGAGATTTCACTGGTTTCAATGTCTGCTCAACCACTTATCTTCCTGCTAAGCGTTTGACACTCTGCGCTGGCAAAAGGCAAATAAATGTAAGTGTTATCCTGCGACTGAAACTGCATCCCTCTATATCACTTTACAAATCCGAACTCGTTCCGGAAAAAGGAAGGGTTTTTTTTTTGTTTTCGGCTGCACTTGAGCGCCAGCAAACTGGATAAATTATCTTCGCGCGGCAGAATTTCAAGTGAGTGAGTTCAGCAGTGAATGGAAAAGTGTCAACAAACGTTCTTATTCAATTTGTTGCCGCTTTCAAATAGTTTCGCGATTTGCAAGGACCGCCGCATTTGGCAGCCGTCGCTGCAAGTTTAACGCATTGCTGCCTCCGAACAGAAGACATCCTCCGGAGCTGACTAGTTGGGCCAATGACAGAAGCCTTGGCAACAGAAACAACATGACCAGCAACCGGATATGCCAATGAAATTACAGCAAAGTGCCTGCAAATTAACCAGAGCGAAAGGCTGGCAAGGACAACAAGGACCTCTGTGAGTGAACTATTGACTGCGGAACTGGAGCTCAGATTAGCCAGTAAAGGAATGTTCTGACACTTATGATGTTAGCGTGCACACAAAAATCGTACCAGAATAAAATCGATATGCGCATGGTAAATTGCTGATACTTATACTCGCTATGCAATACAGATTTCTCTGTCTCTGAGATAAACTTAATTTAAATTAGCGAATAAAACTTATTCTTTGAATTCGAAATAGAGCGCTTAAAGTTACATGAGTGGGAAGTATCATTCTAAAATGTATATTTTAGAATATTTTTTGAAAAATAAGATCGCATAATCCCAAAATAAAACAAGTGACATCTAAAAAATGTTTGTCACTTCGAGTCCAAAACTTTAATCAAAAGGAGCAAGTTAAAACCTCCAAAAAGTTATCTAGCGACTGTAATTTGAAACATGCTGAGGAGTACTTAAAAAGTTTAAATTACATTTAAGTTTACTTAGTGAAACATTTGCGCTACACAAACTTCAGAGCGTCTAACTGGAAAGTGCCCCGAAAAATCTGAGCGAAATTGAGTTGCAAATTATGGCAAGAACACCTTGTCGAATTGCCAGGACAACGACGTCGCGCTGTCTGGCTTTTGTTCTCTGACATTTGAGCGGGAGGCGAACAGGGAGGGCAAACACACATTCACCCGACCCCCCCGACTGTATTTAAGCCTTTGTGCTAGTTAGCCAAATTGTAGCAAACATGTTGGAAAAGCTCTGACAGGCGGCTGGGCACCTTGATGCCAGAAGTGGCATCCTTGCGGGCATCCTTTCCGCCAGATTTTCGCCAACCTTTCGGCGCGTGTGCTTCTGCTCTTGGCAGCAGCCATTTTGGACCTTGCCTTATTTTATGGGATTTTTTTTCGTTTTTTTTTTGTTCTCGGCACTGTCGGCTACACATACATTTTGCAGACAGTCGTTGGCGCCGCTTTTAACTGTTTTTAATTAAAAAATTTCCAGAGTTCGGGCCATTGGTAATCATTTTTATACCCTTGTAGAGGGTATTATAATTTCAGTCAGATGTTTGCAACGCAGTGAAGGAGACGTTTCCGACCACATAAAGTATATATATTCTTGATCAGCACCAATAACCGAGTCTATCTAGCCATGTCCGTCTGTCCGTCTGTCCGTCTGTCCGTCTGTCCGTCTGTCCGTTTCTATGCGAACTAGTCTCTCAGTTTTAAAGCTATCGCGATGAAACTTTCCCGAAGGTCTTCTTTCTATTGCAGGTAGTACATATGTCGGAGCCAGCCGGATCGGACCACTATATCTTAAGGCTCCCAATCAAATATAAGAAAATTCATTGTAACTTTGTAGGAAGTAGGCGTTTTGATTCTTGACTACTTAAAAACAAAATTGAAATAAATCGAAACGCTGAATCTGGAATCCCTGGAACTGCACCGAGTGAGTATTCTTTTATCTACAAGGGTATATAAGCTTCGGCTGGCCGAAGGTAGCTTCCTTTCTTGTTATGTCTGCCTTTGTCTGTGTGTTGGCTGCTTTTCCGAAGGGTTTAACGAAAATTGATTTTAAGCCTTTTTCTTCTTTTATTATTATCGCTGTCGCTGACACTTGAAAGAAAAAGTTGGCCCGCAGAGACTAAGGCAAATTGATTGCCAATTGAGAGGCCATTGCCATAAAAGAAAACACAGGGGGGTACAAAAGGGACACAGCAAAAATGCATATATTATCCTTTAAAGTATGCTTTTGGCCAAGGCAAAAGGGAAAATTCAATGAAGCCCTCCCCCACATGACAATAAAACTTTATGTTCGCTTATGTATGTATGTGCTTTGGTCTGACGCTGCCTTTGTCGCATTCCTTAGCATTCGGAGAATTTTTGAGCGTTTTGTGTTCGAGCGGAATTTATGCAAATTTGATTAAATTTCCTGGTAGCTTTCGGCCAGAAAGGCTGAAGTACGGAGCTCTGGCAGGTCAAGGCATTTCAGCAATGCGCTTCTCCATTGCCACGCCTGAGAGTATGCCGCGGATTCTGGTAATTCATTGGAAGTTTCTAGGATCCGTCCTCAACTGGTGAGAACTTCCTCGAGCTAAGCGTTAATTTGGGTTAAACTATAAAGAGTAATTTCCTAAGAAAAAGTATAGGCTAGTCCTCTTGTAATAAGACCATAAAAGTTTAAACAAAAAAAAAATATATAGATATTAAAGTTTAGTTTGAAGATTATTAAGTTATTTTGTTCTCTTTCTAATAAAAGGTCTTCAAACATAAATAAAAATTTATTTTTGGGATTTTTCGTTATTCATAATTCTGCTAATAACTCAATGGGTTATCGAAACTTAAAGTTGCCTCATCGATCTTCATAATGACTCCCTTTGTTTCCTTTGTTCTTGCTAAATTTAATTACTTTAAACTCATTTCCGAAAATTAGCCATTGCCCAAACGAAAGCCCGTTGAACCACAAACTAAATGAGCCACTTAACCCTTTTCTTCACAAGGCCAAGGGTTTTGGGTAGAGAAAAATTATAAATACGAGCCCAAGGAGTGGGACCATCTGCTGTCTGCCGGCACATCAATTAGACTCCCGCCAATGGGTCCAACTTGTCGGTCGAACGCTTGATCGGCCAAGCGATGCCTTCGAGCGGACAGGAGCAGTACGAATCCCGTCCTCAGGACCATCCATCCATCCATCTCCACCATGTCAGACACGCCTCCTTCCCGGGGAGAGACGGGCCAAACAAATCGAGGGCCATAACCAGTAAAGGGGCGAAAGACAAAACAGCCGCGACCGGGCCAACAACAAGTGTAATATGTCAATTGAAGGACACACTTCCAGCCAAACACTCACCCAATCCGGCATATATACACACACTTTGGCAAACTCTTGACTATTTATTGCAGTGCTGTCTGCGCTGTCGCCGAAGGATATGCTACGGATATTTGCAAAATATTGCAGCGCCCATAAATTGAAACCCCAAAAGGACAGGCGGCCGCCGAGCGACTTGGCTAAAAAGGCACACAAAAAGACAAAAAAAAGGAAGGCTTTGGATTCGGAATCGGAATCGGAATCGGGGGGCGTGGCTTTTGGGACTGGGGTTGAGACTCGACGTGGCCCGGCTTTGTCTCAAAATCGCCGCACGATTTGTGGCCGCTACGTGACCGGGCAAACGAGCCACCCCAGGACATGCCAGGACATTCGAAAGCTCAAAAGGGCTGTGCGGCGCGGACCTGACCTTGGGCTAAAGGAATTGGCAATAGTACTCTGGGCCAATGTTTAATTTTTGTCTGCCGACTATTTCGGTGCGAAAGGAAAATGAAGGCAATGGCTAAAAGGCGAAAAAGATTTACAGAATGAAATGATTTTTTTTTAAAGAATACAATGAATTAAAGGTAATAATTCTAGTGGAGAGGAGGTCTTAGGAACCAAAATTAATTTATTTAAAATGCTGACTTTAAGAGGAATAACCGAATTTCAATTTCAAATATTTTAAATGCAGTATATATTATTAGAAATTAAGAACTGAAGAACTTACGTTTGTTAGCTTTCTAAGCAAAACTAATAACAAATTTTAGATTAAAACTGACATCAATCTATTGCAAAGAAAATACTTTTGCTATTTCCCAAGCTGCTCGAAAGAAAATCCGAAATTGCATGCGTATTTTGCGGAATATCTGATGCACTTCGGCATTGGGGCCAACTCGTTTCCTCTGAAATACAATTCATGAATTTTAATCTCATAAGGACATACGGGAAAACCCAGAAACACATCCCACCCCATTCTGAGCTTACGTTGTGGTCCCGGGCAGTTTATTAGCCAAAACACAACTGACCAACCGGGCAGCCATGTATGTAAACTAAGCCAAAAAGGGCGCTGCGGAGGAAACGGAAAAACATCGTACGTATGGCCAACAGAAGGAGGTTATCAAAGTTGGCCAGAACGGCTGCCACTCAAAACGAGAATCGAGGCCCGAACCTTGTTTACCTGGCAATAGACTTTTAAATTTCCCCACCGTATATACGCAACGGGCCACTGGGATTCTAAGCGGTGGCCAGGAAATCTGCGTGGCATATGGAGAGGGCATAAAAAGTTTCTCATAAATTTCTACCTCAACCCGGCTATGGCCAACAAGAATCCTAAATGAATTGTTGCTACCCGGATGGGTGCCATACGGGGCACGGGGAGATAACTTTTATAATAGCCCAACTCGTTGGAAATTCAATTTCATTTTCAATTTAATGCTGCAACGAGCCACGAAGAACGTACCTGCTCTGCAGAGAATTACCCTCAACCAGCTTCTTTTTGTGGAGCTCTTTTTGTTGCCATTTGAATTGACTTACCTGCAATGAAATGATAGAAAAATAAGTTACACACTCGCTGTTAGAGGTATTATTTTATGAGATTCAAGAAGAAAAATGAGTAGCACAAAATTAAAACTAGAGCTTGAGACCCTTCGTCTTTTGTTCTCCTTATTGTTCACGGAGCTCAGATGAGGTCGGGCCAAAGCCGGGAACAAAGGCCACCATCAAGGTGACTCTTTCTGCACATTGGTTGTGCTTTAATAGTAAAGACACGCTAAACATTTCTTAAACATATTTCAAAGCTTTAATAGATGGATTTTAAGTTGAAATTTTAAAAATAATAAATTAACGTTTTATTGGCGACAAATTTTATTATTGTATTTAATAGCAATTTTATTATATTTACTCCATTAGAGTTTTTTATAGAAATATTTAATTTTTCCAATTTTGTATTAAATATTTCTTAAGTATCATTATAGTTTATAACTTTTAAAATTAAAAAAAAATTTTTAATCTTATAAATTTTTGAAAATTTCATACACTTATTAACTTTTACCAACATAGGCTTAATACGATCTCCCTAAAGGAGTTTGAATCTTTCTAATAAAGGAGTTTGAATCTTTCGAATAAATATTTAATATTAAATCACATAATTAAGCACTGAATAACCAGTTCTATGACTCCTATCTTGTACGTAAGAGATCCTACTTGCTGTTGAGTAGTTTCCTTTACATTAAAGGACTTTCTCAAGTATCCTTGTCTGATTTTTACCCCACACCACAACCCGTTTACTCTTTCACTTCCTTCGTCCAACGCCTTCTTTGTTTGACCTTTCATTGTACTTCAGCACAAGTACTGGAGTTTTAAATTGCCTTAAGTCCGAGTGGCAGCCACTTACCTATGACATATGAGTACCCGTCCAGCGTCAGGACGCACTTGCGTGTGGTGGTGCCCACCAGATTGCCCAGGACGCTGACGCCGATGCTGCCGGCGGTGCCGCTGGAGCCGCCGGACGGGTACCTGGAGCCGCTGTTGAGCCGCTGACCCATTTTTCCCGGACTGGAGGACATGGCCACTGGGCTGCCGACCTCGCAACTATTCAGACTCTCGCGACGCGGCTGGGCCTCGAGACCCACAAATTCATCCCGACGTTCGCAGGTCGAAACCAAACCGTCGCTCGAATGATCGCGTTTCTGATCCCGATCCGCGTGGCGCAACCGGTTGCGCGTTATGCGCGATGCGGGAATGGCCATGGAGGACGCGGATGAGGTGGCGGTGGCCGGAGTGGCTGCCTCTCCAACCTCCACCTCCCCCTCCTCCTGGCCAATGTTCAATGTTTGCGGCTTGTCGCGGCGCGTGGGCGGCGTCTCGTCCAATGTATCGCCCATTTTCAACGATTCAGATCAGCACGCTCTCTGGGTAAATCGGTGGAATTACTATTATGACTCGAAATGCATTTTACGAAACCGTGGGAAACAATTTGCCTTGTCGACGTACGCCAGTTGGATTTTGTATTTGATTAAAATTTCATTTTCATATTTCACTATTAAAATTCACTTTAAATCACATTATCCTTTCGTTATGGAATTTTATGATGTCTTTCTGAGGTAAAATTAAATTTGAATCAGTTGCACAAATTAAAATTGAATGGTTAAATCAGACAAAACAATTCCTATGCAACGAAATTGCGCATACGCAGTGTGGGGAACAATCAAATAAAGCAATTAAATTGAAAGTACAAGCTACTCCAAAAAGAATATAAAATGTAAGTTTACTTAACCAAAAAAGTGTGTGTTTTAAATATTTTTTATTACTGTTTCATTCGTTTATTCAGTTTATTTTTAAATTCTTATCGGATAGTAATGAATATTTTTGATGACACTTTTTCATTTTTAGTTTGTTTGCTGTGTATTTTATGAGATTTTACTGTGCAAAAAATGTAAGGCTGAATGGTAGTCTATTTTTCCTTTTTTTAGTGTATACAGCCCTGACTCTAATTGCACTTTTTTCCCTGCTGCTGTCAATTATTTGGTTCGCTTGTCTGCTGCCTGTCCCCTCTATTGCCCCGCCACTCCACTTGCTTTGACTGACATTGTTTGGCGTTATTTGATTCGGATTTTTATCGCCTTTCGTATGGCTCCTCGGTTGGTCAGTTTGTCATTGGTTTTTTGTTTTTTCTGCATATTTGTCATAATGCCAGTCCATTTATCAAAAATCCATCAATGCCATATGGCTTTCCGTTTTCTCTTTTCTGTGTTCTTCATTTTTATTATTGTTTGTGTTTGCCGAAACGATTTGTTTTAACACAACACGGATGCAGACGTTTCGAGTTTTATTAAATTGTTATGGTACTTCATGTGTGGCCTACCCAAAAAAGTATTTATATAAACATATATTTAAACAGATTTTAAATATATCCGTACTTTTTCAAGTCGTTGGTTTGTCACGTTCAACGAATAAAGCTGAATGGCAACACTTTTAAGGCGACATGTGCCTCAGGGGATCGGAGGTGGAAACTCTTTTCACTGTTGGCACGTGGCCTAAGCGTTTCACTCGACTTGAGTTGGCTCAAAAAAGACAGCTTCTATACGTGCCGCCTTTTGGGAGTGTTGCAGGTCGCTGTGACGCTAGAGAAGGATTATTTGTTCAATGCGAAAGCTGGCTTCTATCATTATTAGCCACCTAATTAAAGCGTTAACAAATGGGGCCTCAGGGAGCTTTCATTGAACGAAGAATAATCTTTATAACTACAAAAAAAGACAGACAAAAAGACTTGAGAGAGAATTGTGAATTATGAGTTATTTTAATTTGCTTTATTCTGTCTGCACACAAAAAAAACACGCCCGGATCAAATATATATCGTTATTTTGAAGAATATGGACTTAAATTATAATTTAATAATAATAATAATAATAATAATTATTGAATATTTTGTTTACATTTCGTGCACATCAAGTCAAAATTGATACCACAAATCATTAAATCGATCTTCATTTCTTATCAAGTTTTTTTTGCGTATGGCTGTAATTAAAACACAATTTGCCTAATTTTGTATAGTTGTGCAGACAAATAACTTTCGTTTAAAATCTTTTGTGTGGTTATCATGAATGTTTAATATTATGCGCATACTTGAGATAATTAATTATCTCACTTTGATACAATTTAAAAACTGTAAAAAGAACAAATGCTTTTCTGTAGTGTATATAGGTTAATCAGCAAACAAAACAAAATTGTTTTGAGATTGTTTTCCCTTATTAAACCCTAACCCCTGCCAAGGTAAACAGACGAATTCCAAATGATAATCATAAAATTTTAATTAAGCTTTTATGTACATATATAAAATTCTTTTTGTTGTTGTTTGAGAAAGCCCGCATTGGGCGCAAAAACCCAATTGCCTGTCCTTTTGTCCTTTTGCGGTTAGGGTCGTTGTTGTTGTTGCTGCTGCCTCTGCTGTTGGTTTGTCCACTCGATTGAATGGTGCAAAATCGAGAGGCAAATGTCAGGAGCAGCTGACAGGACTTACATAATCTGCTAAAAGCACTTTTGCCCTCCGTTCTCAGCTTTAAGTCTCGTCGGCTCTTTAAGGAGTGGGAATATTGCGCATACGCCGCGTTTATCAGCCTGCCTAATGAGGTATCAATAACACCGCCTTTACGACTCAATTAACGAAAGATGTTCGCCCGAAATCAATGCCAACGCTCTGGGCGACGAACAAAAAGATATTATGGCCGAGTAGAGAGCATTTTGCGTTGCAATTTTCGTTTGTGGCATCATAAATCGCCAAATCCGCCTTATATTTGTGGCCAGAGGGGGTGGATAACCTCTGGAAACATCAGTAACATTTCGAGTTCAGAGAACTCCTTTTATGGAATAAATTTAAAATTTATTCGCATTGGACAACGCTGCGAGTGAAAGCGAGGGTCTTGGCTATTTATCTAGACCGCCCACATTTATTATTGGTTTCTGGGAGCAAAGTCTAGCGACCCGCATAACTAATGCTGTTTATTATAGTTTTGCCCATTTATCTCTATATCTGCTTATATGTTTCTCTGTTCGGTCTTCTCCTGATGAGCCACAAAAGTCAGCCAGTAGTCGAAAAGTTTCAATGAACTCTGTTTGTCTGTCAGACGTTTTGGCCAGCATCATAAACATGTCTATCTGGAGGACTCCATCCACATCTTGTTTGCCTGCCTTTTGCCTTTTGTCTCATTGATCTGACAGATGAAAGCTGCTGGATGAGGCCCAAACAAATGAACACACAGAGTTAGTCACTGCATAGTCAATTATTTAATTAAAAGCTGTCACTTGCCGAAGCTGAATGTAGCTGTTAATGTGGGCGTTGAAGCCAAGTTGAGGCTGGGCGTGTCCTCTGTTGCTCGGAGGAAAACATTGCAAATAACAGGAGAATAATAAAAGTGAAGCGACAATACCATCTCATGGCAATAATTAAAAGCGCATACACAATTCAGTTGGAGAAAGGGGAGAGCAAAATGCCGCATAGGAAGTCATACACGAAAACAATTGTTTTAGATTTTTAGTTGGGATCTCCATATGTGCCATACCTTTTTGGGGCTTCTAATTAAGAAAATTTTAGAAAATTCTCATTTCTTTAATGCAATTTGTTTGTGTGCAATAGTGCTTGTGCATACAATAAATTTGAGTTTGATATTTTTTTCATTTGATTGTAGTTAAAATATATTTTAATTTTAAAATAAACAAAAACAGAACTTTATTTTATGGCTTTATTTATTCTCACAAAACCCCTGACTTTTGATCAGTGTATATTAAATAGAGCTGCATTGTCGCCTTTGTCATTTGCACATATAAACGGTTGTGTATTCTTGGGTTCCCCCTGTTTTAATTGTTGTAATTTGGTGTTGTTGTTGCCCCCTGACATGACCCGTTCATGTTATTTGTTGGTGTAATTTCGCCCCGATGTTGAAGGGGGGCGCCAGTGCGTCGCCTTTGCGGGTTTGTCTCGGTTCTGGTGTAAATAAAAGATGAGTTAAAGAGCGATAGTGTAGGGGCCAAGAATGTTGCGCAGGACGGAAGGCTAGCTAGCTAGCTGGCAGGCCTGAAGAGTAGGATGTCGGCCTGTCAGGACGAAGGACGACTGGCGAATCGCACCCGTTAATCACACACCACATTCTGCGTCCGATCGATGCGGGATGCAATAAAAAAGCAGAAGGAATTGCATGTAATTGAAGGGAAGCAGGAAAAACAAACTGAGCGACAGGAAGTGTGCAATAAATTTTCCAACTGCCCCTTGAAAGGGGAGACACTTCAAAGGAAAGTCCAAGGAAAAGTAAAAGAGAAAGTCAGAGAGAGAGAAATTGAGTGAGAATTCCTTGACTCGGCTCATTAGCATTTTGGGGCAAAGGAAAAGTTCGGAGCCATATGAGGCCAAATGTGAAAAAAAGAGGAAGCCAGACAAGCTGACTTGACTTTGTCCACCTCATCATCATCATTATTGGCTTTGGGAACCACATTATCATCAGCATTTACATTGCAAATTGTTTCTGTTTTTGTTATTTATACACCGACACACACAGGACTCCCAGCTGGGGGCTAAATGCAGTTCCTGCTACAAAGTCCCATTTACATAGAAGGACAAGCGCCAGAGACGAAACGGCAAACAAATGAGAAAAGTCGCATTATTAATTTGCCGCACCGCACGACCATAAATAAGGATGTCTGTCCTCGGATTCCCCACTTCGGCTCGCGCTTTTCGCCATATACACACATAAAATTCAAAGGACCTCCTCGGCATCCTTGTCCATATGTTTCGGTCTTGCGGCTCGGTTTTCTCCCAACGCTCCACGCAATTTTCTCTAGCAATTTATTACTATTTTGACTTGTAGATGTGCTGCTTCCTATCTGTATCCTGAGTCCTTTTCCCCTTCTTTTTTTCCCTTCTTTTTCCCTGCTTTGCGACAATTTGTAAAGCAGGCAATTATCCTTATTAGCCGCTTATTTATAGCCATGTTTGTTTACTCGTTTTCCCATTGACGCATAAACAATGCGAAAACGATAATAGGGGAGTTGCCGTTTTCCCGGGATGAAATAATTGCCACAGATTGGCAATCAACCATGGAAAACTTCATGCAACAGTTGGCCAAGGGTCATCTGAGCAAAAATTATGGACTGAGGGCGAAGAATTTGATATGAAATCCTTATTATATTTTCATGAGCTCAGGCGGAGTGATTAGGAGTGAGCACACCCAGAAAAAAAAATGACCTAAAATGTCAAAAAATGGCCTAGAATTTAGGTAAAATTGGCCTTAAACTGGAGCTAAGTCCTTGAATGGCCTAAAATTTAGGATTGTATGACCTAAAATGTTAAGCCATTAATGGCCTAAAATGGGGTAATTTTTGGCCTAGATTTTAGGTAATTGGATGCCTTAAAATATGAGAATGGATAGGGGTTCCAAAATGTTAGGCTTTCTTTGGCCTAAAAATTTGTACTGAAAAATGTTTCATATTATAAAGTAAATACAGAGAAATTTATAGCTAACTCGAGGTCAATGTCGGCTTAGTCTTCAAGAAGTCGTCATTATTCCAACACACAAAAACGAGCGAAGAGGCTTCACTGTTTAGCAGTGAAATCGCTGTCTTGGTCAACGATCGAAG